AAACTTTGCAGAAAATGTAGATTCCAAATTTAAATCACAGTGAAAGAACATAAATTAAATAACAAAAACTAATGACTGTAAAACGTACCAAAATCTGTAATAATCATTTGTAACAGAGAGGAAAGAAACTCGAGCACACTGAATGCACAATGTCCACTTAAGAAAATTATTTTCTTTTAGTATTCGAGGTTTGAATTGAAATATATCCTCCCAGAATAGCATGATTCTATTCACTAGTTTATTGATACTCAAAAAAATGGTGACAACGAGCCACTCAACGGTAGTAAAAAACACGAACAAATGAATTTGTGCAGAAGAACAAGAAGAAGTTCAGAAAAATTCACAAGTAATAAGTCTAAGGATTTCACAGGTATTTATAGCAAAGAAGCATAGGTTTTGAAAGGTTGCAACCTTTCAGAAACCACACGACCATTGATGAAAATTTGCAACATTACAAACGATCACGACTGTTCGTGAAAATTACAACCTTTCATAACAATCATCTCCAACGGTTAGAAATTCAAGTAAAACAGGAAAAATGTTTTAAATAAGTATCTCACGGTCCGAGTTGAACCGGGTTGTTTTGGTTAATTATTTAAATAATTAAAACATTTTGGCTATTTAATTCAACTAATTAATTAATAAATCAAAACAAACGTTGTGTAAAAAAATCTCTTGACTGATTATTTTCCAAAGACAAAGCTAAAGTCAAAGTCAAAGTCATAATCGAAGTCGAGCCTAGCAAGCGATGATGATGACGACGTGAGGGGGATCTCCCTTTCCAACCCTTTTAAGTAGAGCCGTCAATATGGGCTAATCCCGTTGGGCTGGTCTGGCCTAACCCGAGATTTAATAGGCTGAGCTAAGATTTTTGGAGCCCATTTAAGAAAAGGGCTTTTTAGACCGGCTTGAATAAGTCTGCTCATTGGGGGGCTTGAGAAATATCAGTAGGGCCGGCCCGTGGGCCAATAAAAATTTATTAAAAATATAATATAATATTAAAATTTAAAAATGAAGAGATTCCAAAATCAAAATAATTAGTTTAATATTTCTATTTACATATTTATACTTTTAGTTGAATTTTTTTTAAAAATAAATATCAAGGAAAATGCACAAGTACCCCCTAGACTATAACAAAAATCCCAGAGACACACCTTAACTAAACTAAGGTCCTATTATCCCCTGAACTTTTTTTTTTTTTGTAATTTTATACACCTTTTTTTGTAATTTTATACACCTTTTGTCTTATGTGTTACTCTATGTGACTCCACGCAATTGAGGTGCGTCAGAGATATTTGAATACCACATAAGCCAAAGAGGTACACAAAATTACAAAAAAAAAAAAGCTAAAGTTCGAGGGGGGTAATACGACCTTAGTAAGGTGTGTCTTTGTGATTTCGGTCATAGTCTTGGGGGTACTTGTGCATTTTCCCTAAATATTATAAAGATAATTTTATTTGTGAATTTGATTAACAAGTAGTTACATTAAGGTCTCATTTGTTTTCATTAAGATTAAGACGTCTGAATTTGAATACACGCTTAAATATTAAGACATGCATTAAGATCCATGTGTAAATCTGAATAAACATTTGAATATTAAAATATTATCTCTAAATCTTAACACTAAATTGTTGGGATAATTTGTTTTCAATATATGAATGCACATATGAAATTAAGCATTATATCAATAAAATATTATCAAAACTTTGTTAGTAAAATAGTTTTTTTTTCATATAAAAAAATAGTTTGTTCATTTTTTATCGTAACAAGGTAATAGGATTTATCTTTTAAGAACTCTACATCAAGTTACATCATTAATATGACTATATTTTGCACTCAAAATACTTTGAAAATCTAATATAATGCAATTTAAAATAGTTAATATAGAGTAGTAAATATATAGTTTAGAAAAATACTTTATTTTATTTTATTATAGAAATTTATTATTTTTATCGATCAAATAACTAATACTTTCTTATTTTTTAAAACCGTGCTAAATATTATATCATGAGAGTGCTTATCAATTCAAATATATTGATTAATTTATGAAAGTAAAAGATGTATACTAAGTTAATATGAATAAAGGAAGTTATAATGACAAGCATGTAATTAAATATTAATTAAATAAGAAAACAACTTTTATGAGTTGTTGTGATTTAGTTGAATTAAGATAGGAGTCTTATTTTTTAGTCTGAATAGTGTTAAGAGTGTGTTATGGATCTTAATGAATTCAATCTGAATAATTAAGATCCAGTTCTTAAAAACAAATACATGAGGCAAATCTGAATTATTAAGATTCAAAAACAAATGAGGCCTAACATAATATAATATTGTTTTGTCGATATTTATGATAATATTTTAAATTATAATTTATAATTTAATTTAATAATTATAAAAAGTTATAATTTTTTAAAAGTGGGCTGGCCCGGCAAGCCTGTAGCCCACGTACTTGTGGGTTGGGCCGACCATTTTCTGGCCCACACCAAAAATGGGCTAGTCGGCCTGACCCGTTAAATGTCAAAGTCTGTATGGTTTAGCCCGGATGGAAAGGACTAGCCCACATTGACAGCTCTATTTTTAAGAACTAGTAGGAGTAGAGTTGTCAATATGGGCTAGCCCACCCCATCCGGGCTAACCCATACATGCTTCAATATTTTACGGGTCGGGCCGGGCTAACTTATTTTTGATGTGGGCCAGAAAACGATCAGCCCAACCAACAACAACATGGGCTACAGGCTTGCAGGGCCAGTCCACTTTTTTAAAAAAATTATATGTATATTTTAATTATTAAATAAAATTATAAATTATAATTTAAAAATATTATCACAATTATCAATAAAAGAATATTACACAATGTTAATGTTACTACTTGTTAATCAAATCCACAAATAAAATTATCTTTATAATATTTATTAAGTTTTTTATATCAAGTAAAAGTATAAATATCTAAATAGAAATATTAACCTAATTGTTTTGAGTTTGGACTCTCTTTAATTTTAAATTTTTAATATTGTATTATATTATATTTTTAATTATTTTTTATTGACTCACGGGCCAACCCTACCGATATTTCTCAAGCCCCACAAATCAGCAGGCTTATTTAGGCCGGGTTAAAAAATCTTTTTCTTATATTGACTCCAAATATCTTAGCCCAGCCCTATAAAATCCCAGGTTAAGCCAGGTCGGCCCAACAGGCCAACCCATATTGACGGTTCTAAGTAGAAGTGCTTCTCCATTTAAACACTTAAAACTTTTCTTTCCACCACCACAAGGGAGAAGTGCTGTTACTAAAGCATAAGAGAGACTTTTCAAATTCCTCTTTTGATCTCCTCTATTTCCCATGAATTATTTCTATATACCCAAAAACTCCCCACATGAATGGGGAATAATTATAACATAAGGAATGCACAAACGAATGCGAGCTTTACAAGTAACGATCAATTACATTTGGATAAGTAGGTTTTCCGTTGAAATTTCTATAGTGAACATATGTACGATATACTCGGTCAATCAATAGATGTGATATATTTGAAACGTCGAGCTTTGATGTATACTACCTTCACAACCATATGACACAAAAACAACCCTTTACCATTTATCATCCTTACAGTTGTATTTGTCTCAGCCATGAACACACTTTTACAATAATTCTCTTTGAAGGGCCTTACACTTGACACTCATATAAATGATTTCTAACCATGTCCTCTAGTAGATACATATTTGGTCAAATATGTCAAACATAACAAATAATTCACAACTTTAAGCTTTATTAACTCATTAATAAGCGTTAATATTTTAACTTTTCTCTTGAAAATTTTCTTCATCATGAGAATGGAATGAGTTGATTGACAATGTCGTACCATCAGTCCCAACTTTATTTTCTACATAAACCTAGCTCTTAAGATCTCTAGTCTGCTAGGTAGAGTTACCGCCATGATGACTTGTCCTAAGACGTAAACCCTTTTCTTTAGATAATCTTTAAACTGCCTCTTTCACTAGGTCTTTTGTTAGTGGATCTGACACATTATATCCTGAGTTCACATAGTCAATTATGAAAATTCTACTAGAGATCAATTTTCCTACGGTACTATGTATTTATCGTATGTGACGAGATTTTCCATTGTATATAATGCTCCCTTCCCTACCTATTGTTGCTTAACTATCACAATATATACATATAGGTTGTACGGGTTTGGGCCAAAATAAAATATCCTCTAAGAAATTTTGGAGCAATTCAATTTCTTCACCAACCTTATCTAAGACAATAAATTTAGATTCCATTGTAAAGCGAGAAATACATGTCTGTTTGGAGGATTTACAAGAGACTTCTCCTCCATCAAGTATAAAAACATAACCGCTTGTGGATTTTACATCATTTGACTCCATGATCCAATTTGCAACACTATTCTTCAATTATGACAAAATATTTATTATAATGCAAAACATAGCGTTGTGTATGCTTCAGATGCCCCAAAAAAATTTTCATTGTTATCCCGTGAGTTTTATTTGAATTACTAGTCAACCGTCTGAGCTTTCTGACAACACATATCTGATGGCGTGCAATTCATAATATACATCAAACTTTTCAGCACTCTGGTATATTCCAACCAAGAGTCACTTTCACTTTCATTCTTTTGAAATGAAACACTTATATCAATTGAATTTTTGACATCGTTGAAATTCAAGTATTTGAACTTGTATTATACTCTTTTAATATAATGAGATTGAGATAATGTTCACTACTAGAAATTGGAGCTATGGCAACAACTTTTTTTGCAACGGGTAAAAAACTGTTGCGATAACAAGTCAATGGCAACGATTTAAACCGTTGCATAAGAATTTTGGCCTATTAGAACATTAATTTAATTAAAACGTTGCATTAGCAGAAAAATTGTTGCTATGCATATAGTTATTGCAACACTTATATATTCGATACAATATTTATCTCTATAGATACAATTAATTAATAAAAATATATATGGAAACATTTTATATTTTACACTACTTTTTTCTTTTATAATCAGGATTTTTGTACCTCCTGTATCCATTTATCTCTTTTTCCATACAATTGCTTCATCTTCTTATTCGTTAAAGCACGCAGAAGCAAAGCACTTGCATCCAATTTTTGCTCATGTCGTCATCATTGTCGTTGAAAAGAGGTAAGTTTCATCTATATTTGTAAGTTTGTATGTGCAGATATTAGGGTTTCAAATGTATTGGGTAGATACTATGGTATTTTGAGGAAACTTGCAAGTTTAGATACTAAAAAACTTTTGATTTTTTATTTTTGTATTATGTATCTTTTTACAGTTTTTATTTGCAATTGTTTGGTAAAAGGGAACGCCCCAAACTACCCCGTAGCTCCGAATTAGTGAAGTGAGGTGAAAGGGAATTTTATTTTCCATTTGAATCGTAATTGAAGTATTAATTCTCCTATCACCATGCTCAGATTGAGTACCGAATTTGGTCCTTTTTTTCTGGGAATTAGGAAATAAAATTTGGTGAAATAGGTCATTAATGATTCTTCTACAGTAAGTCCAATTATCAAAACTGGAGAGCTTTGCCCGGAGACAGCAGTTTAAGAAGCAAATCGAGAAAGAGAGGCGGATTTTTAGTGGATTACTCATCGTTTAAGGTATTAGTTCTTTACATTTAAATTTTGTTTATATGCTTTTATTATTGAAACCTCATAGTCTTGTATTGTGTCCCATAAATTTGGTGCAAAATGGTAGATAAGTATCAACTTTGACATTGCTAACACCATCAGATGATTTGTTAAAAATTACTATGTTCTTATATTGTTGATAAATTTGTTATCTCGGAGTAAACATTAGTAGGATTTTTTTTATAGTTTTACTAGTAATGAATATGTTGTTGTAGCGTTTATAGACTTCAATATCATATTTGAAGGTATAAAACTAAAATTAGTAGTTAAGTTAAACCTTATTTATATAT